CTATGTAATTGCAAATGTAATTTCAAGAGTCTTAATAAAGTACTAGTGTGACTGCTTAAGTTAAAAAAAAAAAAAAATAAAAATTATATATGCCAAATTTATTTTATATACTATATATAATAGAATATAAATATTATTAGAGAAATGAAAATTCAGGAATTTTTTATAACTTACTAGATCTAGTCTCTAAAAATATTTAATCAGTAATATATAACAAGTAATTGCTTATTAGACTTTTTTTAAAGTTAAGGCTAATAAGTTAAAACTTAAAAATATTTTATTTTCTCTTTAGAGTTACATATATAATGCATCAATATTATTTTCAGCAAATTTGAATTAAATAGAATAGTCACTAGACTAGAGATTATTTTATAACCAGTTATGAGATAAGTTTTAACTAGTTATAGTTTAAGCTGCAACATCATTAAGATGTTATTAAGACAATTTGCCTGCATCTTTATACTAGACATTAAATAATAAACTATTTTTCTAAAATTTCTATAAACAATAATATAATTCTAAGCATATTAATATACTTTAAATATTAAAATTTTAATGCACATTTTATCTTCTTTTGTAATACCAATTTTTAATTTTTTACCTTATATTAGTTTATATTTAATCACAATACTTGAAATGTCTAAAAAAATATTAAAAAAAAAGCATTACAGCTATTTTTTAATTGCTTTCTAATGCATTAGTTATGCTAGTAACTTTGATAATTACTAAAATATTCAGAATTTAACTTAAAATGTAAAGTAATTTAAAATATAATCAAATAACAAAAAAAAAATAATAAAACTAAAATAAATAAAATCCTGAATAAGATTGTATTAAGCATGTTTAGAAATTTGAATTCAGATAGCAATATTTATTAAAAGAAAAAAAAACTCACTACTATGCTATTTATAGACCTGTTATATTAAATTTATAGAATTATCTAATGATGTAACTGAAGCTTAAAAAATAACTGTAAATAAAATAATCTAATTAAAATTGACTTACTGAGTTTTATATAATAAAGTGTTAAAATTATCTTAAGCAGTTGATTTGTAATAGTATGCTACATTCAACAAGCAATTAAAAAAAATCAAAGAAAGCTTATGAAGCAAAGACATATAAGTATAATATTGATGCTAATAATTCTAAAGCAAAAAATTCTGATAACTTTTCTTATAATAAGGCAGTTGAAAATAACAATGCTGCAAGTATTGTAAAAAGACTTTGAGCTGCAACAAACAACTATTATAGCAACAATAATATGCTAGAAAATTATAATAATGAAAGTCTTTTTGCTTATAATAAGCTAATTGAGATTAAGAATGATAATGATAAAGGTTTTGCAAAAAAACTTTTAAATGTAGCAAATACCTTTTATCATGAAAGTAATTCTAACAAATTCTATAAGCCATATTACTTAGAAAACTCTATCTGTACTAAAAGAAAAAAAAAAACAACAATAGCATGAAGCAGCAAAAGGAATATCTATATTGTTTACCTTTTGAAATCAAGACAAGACTGTTAAAGAAAATGTTAAAGCAGAATTGTCTAATGATAAATAGTTAGACAAAGTTGATAAAGATGATACTAGAGAGCTATTAGAAGATGAGATTGAAGCCTCTAATTGGCATAAAAGAATCCAAATTGCACTTAAAATCATAATACTAGATATTAAAAATAAAAATATAAATAGTGAAGTTTAAGTCTGTCTTAATAGTATTTGCTTTTATCTTTAACTTATAAAGCATAATTATCAGAAAATAGAAGCAAATAAGATAGTTGCAGATATAGCAGATAAAGAGATATACTATGCTAGATATTTTCGTTCTTGGTTACATAAGTATATTATAACCTGTTAGATTCTTTATTCATGCTAAGAACACTATGCTAAGATGTGGAGCTTTCTTTAAGATGAAAATATTTTTCTTCAAATTAAGTCATATGTTTGAAAAAATAAGTGGAATATTATTCTATATATGATTATATTGCAAATAAATAAAGTTATTTTACCAGAGCTCAGATTTGCACTACCACCAACTATTTCTCTTAATACTGCAAAAAATTATCTAAAAAAACTTAGTTATATATATAAAAGAATAAAAAAAGTGATTTATATCAATAGATATGAAAGAAAAAATATAGTAGCCTATTGAACAATGTTTTTAGAATGAATAAGTGAACTTGAACCTAGAATGTCTTTATTTTCAAATGATGATATAGAAGTAGAAACCTGGTTAAATAGTAATGTACAGTCTTTTATTCTTGTTATATATGATAAATACATCTTTTTAGCTTATAATGAAAGTCAAAGTCTTTGGATTTCTGAAGAAGAACAACCTTTAAGAAAAAAAGATAAAGGATATTCAATTCATATTAGTGAATTTCTTACAAATGTTTATAGTTAATTTTTGTTTTCTAAAAAAATGCAACTAACAGATATGCTTTCTGAAGAAACTTGTACTATTATATACCTTAGTAAAAACAATAATAGATGGTAAAAATCTGAAAATTTGATTGAACAAATATCCAATCATACCATTCCTGTATTTGAAACCTATTTTTTAAGATGTCAAGCATTATTTGCTTTTGATAATGCAAAAAGTTATATTACTTATATATCTAATATGCTTATTGCAAAAAATATAAACCTTAGTTCTGCTAAAAAACAAGAAAAAATGCATAGCATATTATATTTTTATAAGAGAATAAAATATGATCAAGATATGATGTTTTTAGTAGATTATTATATTTTTGAATTATGTAGAGAGGCTAAAGAAATAAAACAAGTTTTAAATAAGAGAGAATTGTAGCCAAAAAAAAGATTGAAATTACAAAAAGCATGAGAATTAATGAATCAACAGCTAGATTTTTTGGTGCAAAAAGGACAGTTAGAGGAAATTATTATTTTAGCTAAGCATCAAATTGTGTTCTACTCAAAATTTTATTGTAAGCTTAATTACATTAAGAACTTCTGAAATGCTGCCAAAAAATATAGCCAAGCATATTGTAATTACTCATAGAAAGGATTACAAAAAACTGTTACATTAGCTCTCAATTTTGTTTCATTTTCAACTATTTGTCAATATGCAAGAAAAGCATTTTGCTATATGAATATATATTGAAAAGATTTAAGTAATAAAGTAGCAGAATTTGCAATTAAAAAATATTACTCATATTATCAAATTCCTAAATATGCTTTAAGCTCAATTGAAATTGATTAGTTGATATTTCTTTTGTATAAATACTTACTTAGTACATAGTATTTTGGCAAAATGCAAAAAAGGTAATCAAATATATTATTATAATTTCAGTTTTTGTGTTTTGCTCAAAACACTATATATATATTAATATAGCTTATTTCTTTTTTTCTAAATATGTACTGATAACCCATATTGGACAGTATTGACATTATTATCTAATTTAGGTTGCCCTCTTAAGGACCAATAAACTTTAAAACTATAGCACATGCTAGGTTTTACAAATTTTATTAAAGTTTAATAATAATGCCCAATTATGTTGTAAACAAATATTAAACTAATGTTTTACAAATCAGATGCACCTTTATTAATTAATATATTAAGAGTTTAAATAACAATTGTAACTATTAATATATAAGAGTTTGCTTATATGGTTAAATAACCGAATCTTTATTTAATTGTATTGGTTTAATATTACTTTAATTTGATCAAACTTTGCTAGTTTAATATTGTTTATTATTATAGATAGCAAATTGCTTATACTAATAAATAACCAAGTTTTAGTATATATAAGATAGCCAAATTTAGTATATATAGAGTAGCCAAATTTAGTATATATAGGGCAGCCAAATTTAGTATACATAGGGTGGCCAAATTTAGTATTTATATAGCAGTCAAATTGCTTGTTTTAATAATATATATCAGGCAAGGGACATTTCCACTTACAGAGGTTCAAAATGTTTTAATTATAGGTTAAATAACTTGATGTACCTTAATTTTATATGTAAATTTATGAAAAAAATTTATTTAATCTTAATTTACTTAAAAAAATAAAAA